TGATGTCACCATATTACCATATAACCATTTTATTAACAGGTAACCTTATTGTTACCAAAATGGTTTTACCTTGTTGCCATATTTAAATGTGTTTTCCCATTATTAGCCTTTTTGATTTTGGCCCCTTATTACCCTGCTAAATAAATCTATATACTCATTGTTAATAGCTATTACTTTGTAATTACTTAAGTATTACCTCTTTATTATAAAACTATTACACCACTATTACCATGTTATTATTGCTGTGGTGTAAAGTGATGCCCATTTGTTGCATGTTCACATTTGAGCATTTCATTGACGACTATACTGAGTGCAAAAATATCCATAAAAGAACAAGAAATGTTGGGTTATACAAAAGGCAATAAAATTCAAGATCAGCCACTTTATTTGTTTCGCCATCTGCTGTTCTGTATTAGATTAAGACTGAGACCAAGTTTCAGCCCTGTGATGCAGTTTCTTTTAAATATAAAGCTCACTCGTACAGCAGTATCTAATTTTCCCTCTTCGTCCATGTGTGTTCAGGTACTACCCCAGTGGAGATGCATTTGCTTCTGCGTCTGACGATTCCACGGTGAGTCACGCCATATTACATTACTCTTGATGTTGGGGTGAACTCTGTGATTGCAGTAATTACATTTTTTGCGACAGTTGTTTGTCAGATTGTGGAAAAAATAAAAATTACCTACATATATACTGTACCAGTCAAGTACTGTACTGACAAGTTACAAAAGTAACTTCTTGTTGTTGCTATGATATATTGTAGTAGTGCTGACTGTAGAACATTCACAGGCTGAAATTACCATTGTCAAATGACCGTGTATGTCCTGTATGTGTCTGTGTGTTTGTATGTTTCTTGCTGTTCCTCAGTGCCGTTTCTATGATCTGAGAGCTGACCGCGAGGTAGCCGTCTACCAGAAGGACAGTGTCATTTTTGGTGCTTCCACTGTGGACTTCTCTTTGAGTGGTGAGGAGTTTGTAAAGCCTTGTCGTATCAAATGTGCTCAATAAATGTTCACTTTTAAAAAAAAAAAGGTCCTGTTATAACGTAAGTGAAGACTTGGACACTTGGACGGTAATATAATACTCATCAGCATTTACTGGGGAAGTGAACAGTTCCAGAAGAAAATATAGTATTCAACATAAAAATAACTATTTTTGTTTTATTTTTATATGACCTCTATCTCACAATTTCAACCAACCCTTTGTCTTTCTGTCTGTCTCTACTTCCTGTTATTCCAAATTTCCCACTTCCTCTTTCTCTCGCCTCCTCACACCCCCAGGTCGCCTGCTTTTTGCTGGCTATAACGACTACACCATCAATGTGTGGGATGTTCTGAAGGGAACTCGAGTCTCTGTTCTGTTTGGCCATGAGAACCGCGTCAGCAGAGTCAGAGTGTCACCTGATGGCACGGCGCTCTGCTCGGCCTCTTGGGACAACACCTTACGGGTGAGCAGGGGATTTCCCTTGTAACTGGGAAATTATATAACTTTTCATGCATAAAATCACATCATAAAAGCTAGTTTGGTTCAATACAGTAATTTTGTGAATAACACTGAGATTTAATTGTTTATGAATTGTCATAATTAATCAGCCCAGTTCAGTGTGTATATTTGGATCATATTTATCCAATCAATTTGTTTTAGTTAGGTTTGGCTACTTACCTGCAAGTGGATGAGGAGGAAGTGTCATTTCCTTGTAATACATTTATTTTCTAAAGGAACAGCTACACTATTATTGTTAAAAGCAGGAACCCTCTATTCAAGTATGCAACACACTTACGTTTATGTCTGTTGAGGTTCTTCAGCTCACAACTCATGCTTAATAATTCTTGTTTTATGTTTTATTTCTTTACACTCCTCTCTTGCAGATTTGGGCCTAGAGTTTCTATCACAGCTGTGATCCAGCAAAGACAGCACCAGCATTATGTGACTGCAAGTCTCTGAAATCAACACTACTGGAGGAGTGTGTTCATAGACAACAGAGGCACCAACGCCTGAAATGTCTAGTCAGAATGAGAATATATCATTGTATCATAACTGTAGGGTGGGTATTCATTTAAAGAGATGGTTGATCGAGTTTGGATTCTTCATCTTTGTCATTGTTAGCTTTATGACTGATTGTATCATTATGTAATTGTTATTGCTAATATAGTGGGAAATAACTGTGAGTGTAAAGAGCCAAAATGACTTGTAAAATTAGAAATCACCAGCATGCGTCTGCTCTGCCATGTAGACCTGCAGACAATATCAGTGATCAGTTCACTGTGACCTGTCCACACCACCACACACCCGTCCGGAACACGCTGTTATTGTTGTTGTTACTGTGGCTCTGCCATAGGTGTTGTCATGATTATCCAAAGGAAGACAACTTTAAATGTAGCCACATATTTTTTGTATTTCAATATACATAAACCTCATCAGCTTGTGTACATTTTCTTGTGAGGAAAATAAAGAGGATTTTAAGTATTTTTTGTTTTTGATGTCTCTGCATTTTAATACAATTGGCTGATCTTAACTGAAAAGAAAAGTAATTATGGTCGTGTTTAGCTACAGTAGACTACCTGGAGCATTAGAACCCCAAAGACTTGTGAAATATACTTGAGCATGAAAGTGTTGATTTTCATAGACCAGTCTCTGTGTGTGTTTTGGAGATAATATTCTTAGTTAAGATAAAAACTGTTACCTTGCTTGGTATCCTGTCTCAAGATAAACTCAACTAGTCCTGAGTAACACTGCTTTAATTACACTTCCGCCACCAGGGGGCATTACACTGCATTTGCACACTTTAAACAGGAGTTCTTCCTACAAAAAGGTAAAAAAACTGCTTCATGAATTTGATAAAATAAGTGATGGCTGGATCACTAATATGCAAAACTCATCGGCAACTACTGGGAAAGTTAACATTCCCAGAAAAACATACAGAATTAAACATACAGAACTATTTTTAGGGATCCAAGTTTGATAAAAAGTCCTGCAGTAGCAGAGCACATCTCTATAGTGTGCTGAAGATGTTACCTGTATATATGGTAGAAATGTTCAACCAGCATCAACAAGACAAATAAGATAACAAATATACAATATAATATATACAATACAAAAATACATTTAAATTAATAAATTAATTAAACACAATTTGTAATCATCAATGTCCAACCTCATCCCACCATTCAACACAAAGCGAGGTAAAGGTTTCCATCGTGCTCTGACCCAGTATACTTTCCAGGTTTGTATGTTCAAATAATAATAATAATAATAATAATTAACAAAGGGATTTAATAGTTTTTTTTTTTCTCTGAGGATATTGGGCTCCATACCAGTAAAATCTCATCCATAATATATTTAGTTTATTCCCAGAAAGTAAAAAAAAGATTTCTTTGGATTTTCCACGTGTAAAACAGGACTTTGGGATGTTCTGGAGCAATATATGTGCACATTCACCATTTACACTGTAAAAGCTTAAGATTGGTATTGTCTGTTTGTGTTTGAGCTTCCTTGCAAGCGTTCTCTGGACGAATGAAATGCATGTTCCAAATCAAATTACACAACACAACATCACAGCTGACGATTCTGCACATCACACTGGTTGTTTTATATTGTTTGGATGTGTGTTTTGATGACCAGTTTGTTTGTCCAGTTGTGTGTCCTCAAAACATTATTGATCATGTAGTCTCTCCATCTTACACGTCTTTATTTTTTTTAAATCAATGGTCAAAGGTCAGCCATGTGTATCCACATCATCACTTCACGTATCTCACAACATCCCCTGAGAATGTAGGGACATGCCAATATTACAAAATTGTGATGAACGCCATCAAAACCAAAGCCGATCAATACTGTGCAGGAGGGTTGTTAGTCTCTACTGCAGCACCCTCGTCTCTTTCCAGGGAAACAACCTAAAACGCATACCAACATTTAAAGCCTATTCCTGTGAGCTCTATTGTTTAATACTACACCAGCCTGAATAAAAGGTTATCTGGAATTTAAAGAGGGAATCAACCGGATAAAGAGAGAGATAAGAGGAGAAGAGAGAGGGGTATTACCATGCACAGAAAATACCCAAACAGAGCACCGGATGCACCACACTGCCTAAAACATTTGCTTTGACTGAGATTAACTTGAATACACACAGTTTCACTTCCTTGCGATGATCAGTGAACTGGTGAATTTGTCTGTGTGAGAGTGAGAGGAGTCTCTGGACTGTTTGGTGTTGAAACCAAATCCTAAAATCACGAGTCTCAAACTTTTCTTATGAGAGGTGAAACCTGCATGACTTCACCAACAGGGGCCTATATTTAGTTTATCTTTTAGTCTCCCAAAGATGACATGCATGAATTTACTAAAATCCGCTGAGGGTGAGAGAGCTCTTCACTACATTTGCTGTCAGCCAGAATCTTTGCATTACACCATCTGAGGCCACCGTGGGTCCCCTGAGAGCCACAACTTCAAAATCATATTTCTATAAAAACATCTGTTTACAAATCTGTGTGAGCAACCTTTCAGAGATAATGATAAAGGTTGCTTTATCTCTAGCTCAAACTACTTCAACTGATCCTATCCCTGTAGTAGGACTGCAGCTAGTTATTGATTAATCAGCTTATTATTATGTCCAATATTCACATTTGAGAGACTGGAATCAGTGTATTCTTATTTATTTATTTATATTGCTTAATAGATGATTTTAAACAATTAATATATTGTTAAAATTGTTGTAGATTTATTTTCTTTAAATTAATTATTACAGTTTCAGCTACTGCCACTCATAGAAACACACACACACACTTCGGCTCTCCTAAATCCTGCGCTAACACAACTCGATCCAACAAATATATTCAGCTCCTATAAACTGATTTATTACTTTACGTCTTTGGGTTTTTTCTGCACCATACTGTATTACTTTCCAACTTCCAGGTACCCCAGTGACGAAGATAAGGCTTAATTTGTTTCTGGTGTTTCCAGTGGTGAGGGTGTCTGTCCATGACGGTGCTTTTGAGGGGGTTTCTGAACATATAAGCGGTCGGAGGAGGAGTCAGATGATAAATGTGCAGCAGTCAGTGGAGGCTGAGAGTAACGAGGTCCTCCTTCCGCTGTCCGTATGTGCAGAGAGCAGTCTGATATCGCTGGGAGGGTAAGCTTTTATTTCTTATCCGCACAGGAGAGGAAAGAAAATGCATTTTAACCTATTTCTACATGTATGCCTTATTAATTGTAGAGCTCCTGCCGCACAGAGGTGTGTGTATCTCGGTGTAAAGGGCCGTGTAAGGCGTTGATGTGTGGGTGGTAGTGGAGCTAGCTGCCTGTAGCCTGTGAGAGTGTTTCTTTGTGTCCTCCATTGCTGTGGTGACAGATCAGCGGGCTGTTAGCCGGCTCTACCCCCGCTGCCACTACACCCGGTAAACCTCTTAAACTACCGGGGAATTAACGGTGTGCAACTCTCTCACAACACTGTTAGTTATTTAGTTTCGTTTGTCTTTTTTAAAGTGAACATTAGCTGTTGTGTTTCTTCCAGCATTAACCGAGAGCTATCCTTAACTCGAGCTGTGTCTTTCATAACGCCATTGCTAGCGCTGCGTTAGCCTACAACACTTTATTATAGTTAGGGTTTCATATCTGACACCTGGGTGAAATTAGAGTAGAAATATTACTCTGTTTAATTGTTTTACAAGATTAAAAACCTGAAATTGAGCAGTGTGTTAATACAAGAATAACGGTACTGCTGTAGGTTCTTATGGGAATTAGGCTTCTGGGTAATGTAGTTAATTACATTATGTGCTGATTGTAAGAAACAGGTAATTGGTATAAAGCTGAAAGAGTTGGAAATTAATTAATAAAAGAACCCAAAACATTTTAGGTCAAATATATTAGATTTTTTAACTGCTGGTGTGACAAAAGAAGGTATTTGAAGATGAGCTTTGGCTCTAAAAATCTAAATGATTTTTCACAGTAGTAAGTAATTGACATATATTGAAATTTATAATGAAAATAAGTGCCCTAAGTCGGTTACTTTTTGTTCCCCTCACGTCAATGAACCATTTTTGTGGTTCTTTTATAGCAGTACAATGATTCCCTTCATTTAACTGAACTGCTTTTCTTCTGCCCCCCCCCTTAGAAAATGGCATGCGGGCTGTGGAAAGAGACCCTGGCTCTGGCAGAGGACTACCTGTCCCTGTGCTGCACAAGCCCCCAGCCAGCCCCTCAACCTCCCAGCGAGTCAGCCGCTGCCATGAGGCGCATGGCCCAGGACATGGAGACGCAGCACCAGGCTCGCTTTCAGTCCCTGGCTCAGACCTTCCTGAGGCAGTGCGGGCCGGACCCCTGCTCCAGCCTCAGGAGGGTGATGGAGGAGCTGGTGGGAGACGGACACTTGAACTGGGGGAGGGTTGTTTCCATTTTCACCTTTACTGGGGTGCTGGCCAGACTGCTGCTGGAGCAGAAGGACACAAAGCCGGGGCTGGACCCTGGAAGATGCAGTGGACTGGCGGAGACCATCGCTGATTACCTGGGAGAGGAGAAGAGAGAGTGGCTGCTGGAGAATGACGGATGGGTAGGTCATAACAACATGTCTGCTCCTAAACTGATTGACTCATACAGGAGATAGTGTAGAGCTGATAAAGTCACACCTAGATAAAAGAAATGCTTTGATTGTATCTCGGGCAGTAAATTAGTTTAAAAACGCAACAGTAAAAAATCCCAGTGAGACTTAAAAGTGAAAGTGATGTTTTTAGGCGAGTGGTTGTTGGAAACCACCTAGTCTGATAGGATCGCGTTTCCTTTCTGCTTGGTTATATATTGAGATGTACGTGTAAACGTGGCTTAAAATATGGCCAGGACTTAGTTTAGATGCAGCCTTTTGGACTTTACTGTTTGCAGATGAGACGAGCGCGCAGACATTTCATGTGGCTGCTGTGATTATATGAATTGTAGAGTAGCAATAGGCCAGTTTCTGAGGAATGTATGTTACAACAAGACAAACCTCTACAGTGTAAATTCAGAGCTATGATCAAACCGTGTTTGGCTTTAGATTATCAGTTTTTTCGTAATGGTCGGACAACCGCTGGGTTGTCGGGCAGTATTGGACTGTATACTGGAAATCAAAAGGACAAAGCTTATTTTAAACCTGCTTGGTGTGGCTTATTTGACTGGAAATGCTTAAAGGGATGGTTATTGTAGAACATCTACAGTTGAATGTCTGCTTTTGTGAATGGGCTTTCCCTGGCCCCCTCCCAAACTCCCACACAAACACACACACACACACACACACACGCACACGCACTTACCCCTCCTTTCTTCAGCTGGCAGCTGGTTGCAACAGACACGTAACCAGCTCAGCCAGATGGACTTTGTAGTAACAGTCAAAGAAGCTTCAGTGTGTTGAATTTGGCATTAACCGTATTGAAAGCTGGCGTGGTTTGACCAGAAAAACAAGCAGCTGTAAAGCAGCGAAACACCTGGAGCTGAGAGCAGGTGCACTCGCTGGTTGACGTGTGTATGTGTGTGTGTGTGTGTGACTTCGGTTTGAAAACACGATGGAGTTTCTGACTTGCTGCTATTTTATTTTATTTTTTTTACTGTGTGGTCTTGCTAATAGAGCAGAAGAAGCCATAATAATAATATTATTATTATTATAATACTCTCTAGACAGACTAGCACATATTTTCTATAACTTTAAGTTGATACTTGGACATAATTGATTTTTTTTGTACTTTTGAAGAACTGCTGTGCTGTCAAGATATTTGAGAAGTTGCAGATATCAGCACCTTCTGAGTGTGTGTGGAGAAACACGGGGCTGTCAGTGACACGGATATTTTCCAAAACATATTGTATAATTGCCACCAGCCGTCAGCTAAAGCCACTGTTGGTTGAAAATCATTTTGGCGGCTTATACTTTCTCATTTGTTTTGTGAAACCTACAGTATACGGAAATAAACTTAAAGTGGCAGATGAATATTCTCTCTTAGTAGTAAACCAGGCTTCATGCTCTCAACCTAACATTTCTTTGTGTTTTCTCTCCTATAGGAGGGGTTCTGTAAGTTCTGCCGCAGTGCCAGAGAAGTGAGTCAGGACTCGTCCATGAAGACAGCGCTGTTTGCCGCTGCTGGCGTGGGCCTCGCTGGACTCACCTTCCTCCTGGTGCGCTAGCTAGCCTTCATTAACACATCCTCATCAATGTTCTCCATTCATTTGGCACAATTAGGTAAACATTTCAATTCCAACATCAATGCTGCAAAAACAGGCATAATCTTTAGTGAATTCAGGGTCGTAATCTCATGTCATCAACTGAATGTTTGCACATGCTCGAACCCCACACACACACACACACACACACACACACACACACACACACACACACACACACACACACACACATACATATATTAGTACTGACATTTTGTCACTTGCTCCTTAAGATTGTAAAAATGATCTCAATGCCTTCAGAAATTTTGGAGTAGGTGGCATCAGTTTGCATATCTTTAGACAGGATAATTACTAAAGCACAGGTTTCTGTACAGAACTGTCTTGATTTCGTCGTTTTATATTTTCAGCTGTGCAGCTTAAAGACTTCATTTCAATTTTCACACAGCTTCTGGTTTTGGTTTTTACAATTGTCAGCTGCCTTTTTTATTCACGTGTTTACCTGAGTTGTGTATGTGGTATAGAGCCATTCTAGTGTACAATGTATAAATTAATATATTATATTTATATGAAATGAAACTGTAAGCAGTGGCCCCCTTTTTCTAACTGATCCACAGCTAATTCAGTTGTTTCATTGTTTTCAAGTCTGTCCTACATTCTTGTGAAATGTCTGTGATTTACACAGGTCAGCAGAGCTGTGTACAGCCCTGATGACCACACAACGGTGCTATGATATGTTGTTGTTTCTTATATCAGTCTAACAAACCAGGGACCAATCTGACTTCAAATATTGTGCTATTAGAACAAACCGTTGCTATGGCATTACCCCCACAGATCTCTGAAACATTATATTTTTACATTGTTTTGTTCTATTTATTTCTCACTGTCTATTTTTTTTTTGTTTTGTTTGTTTTTGGTTTTTTTAATAAAAAAAAAAAAAGCAATCATGGAGTTTGAGTCTTGTGATTGAGTGCACTGAAGGCTACCGTAGCAGTGTGGTGATGTCCCCTTTACGACTTTCTGTTTTCACCTGAACATCTCTGCAGCAGGTCAGGAGCATGTAGGCGAATATGAAGAGCAAACGATTCTCCCTCATTTCAAATGCAGACATCTTGTCATAAATAAGATATGTTCTGCTGTCTGTCTTTGTGCTCCTCTGACCATCACAGTGCTCATGTTACACAACAAGGGCCAAATCCACAAAACTAAGCCTAAAATTGTCTCTTAACTAGCTGATATAGGAGGAACTGATTAATAAGCGGTGCGTAAGTCCTAACTTCAGGATTAATTTGTTTTTGAAGCATTTAATGCCAAAAGTAGCTCCTATGTTTGAGATATTGTAAGTTATCTGTAGTCTAAAGAGACTCAGTCAGATCTGCTCACAATCAGTCAGCTGCTGCAGGTGATGTGCCTTATTGCACAAAGTAATGACCTTTTAAAGACGGTGTGTTAATAGGAATTACATCAGCACACCAACAAAACAAAACAATCCAAAAACATCAGATGACATTTTCCACAACTCTCTACCGTTGGAAAGATACTTTGCAGTGTTGAACTTTAATATCTCGGCCATCCGTGAGAATTGTTCCTCAGACCAAACGTGTTCTTCAGGTTGTCCTTTGTTTGGCAGTTCAGTAAGTGTACAGTAAATAATGATCCAATTAAATAAATAAAGCTGATGTTAGGGCTGTGGAGAGATTACATGTAGGCACGTATGCACTAAATAGAAACATTAGAAATAAAATTGCCCATTAAAGGATGAAGAGAGAGGGGTGTAACATGGAACAAAGGGCACCAATGGGAGTTAACCCACTAACAGTTGTGACTATTTGGCATGCACTGTAACCATTCAGCTACAGAGGCACTCTAAATTTTATTTGATTTGATTGAATTTGGATTTAATCAAATTTACGGTTTCCACAACTGGCATTGATATAGTTTCTTTAGACGTTGATTTTTTTATTTTCTATGAAAGGTCCAGTGTGCAGGATTCAGTGGCATCTAGTGGTGAAGTTGCGGATTGCAACCATTCTAAGGTGATGGAAACAGAACAGGTTTTATTTTCAGGGTTATTTCCTTGTATGTTTGCACTACTTGGTGAATTGTGATTTGCATCTTTGATATATTGAAGCATATAATTTTAATTTCCTTTACAATGTTTACTGTTAATATAATACCCTAGTATAGTAGATACTACTGTATTATTATTATTTTATTGACATACAGCTTGTAGGTTTACAACCATTTTTAATTAAATCTGTAACATTTTACTGTTACTAAGTAACACTAAGCTTTTGATTGACAAAATAAGGCACAATACCTGAGTCACCCAACCTAAAAATATCTTCATCAGTTAGATAAAGAAAAAGCAAGAGTTGTCAAATATATCTCTATAACGCATCAGCTTTCTTCGGTCTACCAGATGGTACAACATAATCAGCACACAATCTACAGAAATACACGTCATGTTCAAAGCACACAGACACACACCTTCTGACACTGTCATGTGACACCTGAAGTCATCTAATTGATGATTCTGTAGCTCACGTTATACACACATACAAACATCAAACATTATTTATAACAGTTGCCAACAGCAATATATATATATATATATAAATATGCTTAAATATTCTGAATTCATTGAAATATAAAAATGTTATTTTGTTAAATAAGCTGGGAACTCACTAATAGGTCACTATAGGTGATATAACAATAACCCTAACCCAAAATACAAATCTGAATTTAATACAGATGAACGATATATATTTAACTGACAAATGAGGCCAGTGTGTCTGTGTGTGTGGGTGTGTGGGTGTGTGGGGGTGTGGTGTGTGTGCGCCATGATATTGCAATGAGGCCATTGTGCCTCATCTCTCATATACAGATAAAGATCCGTGTGGGATTCTTTTCATTTAGTTGGTGCACTGAAATAGACCATTTCCCGCAGTATGCGGGTAAGTTTCAACACTCACACAAACACGCACACACACTGTACACACACACTCCTGCATTGAGTATTTTACTGTACATACATGCATGCATAGTTCACATTGTTTGTGAAACAGAGAACCGCAACTGCTTCAGATGTGGGGAGCTGTATTTCCTGTTGATAGTGTTTTACTCAGTGAAACACAAACAGCAGACGAAGCTCTTGTTATTATTATCATCTGTTTATTTTATGGATTATATGGAGCAGAGATTACATGGACAGTGGTCCTCTGTAACTGCTTTAAAACTCAATCTCAAGGGCTTAAAGACCCAAAGTTTAGAGCCACAATATATATGCTTTTTGTTTTCATTCCATAAGCTGATTGAAATTTGTCCCTTTAAAGGATAAGCCTGCTTTTTATTGTCAACAAATCCCATGAAAAAAACTAAACCAACAGTGAATTGACCCTATTAACAAGTATTGACTGTGTTTCAAGCCAAAGCCTGAGTCAAACCCACTGTACATTCACTATTGTGCTGCTACAAATCCTTACCTCAGCATCTCACATGTGGCTGAAAATAGTCTCCATGTTTGAGTAACGTCTACTAAAAACAACCATCTGTTTTAGGATATTGTTTAGCCTTTTTTAAATTCTGAAACTATATATCCCTGATTAGAGATCAGTATGGCTGGGGGCCATTCATTTCCAGATGGGGTTTTTTTAGGGCCAGACATGCAGCTTATGCCACATCCACATTGATCTGATGTGTTTCTGTGACCATGTTCTGAACATGTTAAACTCTGTGACCTCAGGACTGACCAACACAACAACAAAGAGTGCTGCTCAATATTGTGCACCTGACTCCACTACTTTTATTTGACTGCCATAGTCACTTTGTACATTCAAATGTCAAAATCTATAAAAAGAATATAAAATATGAATAGTTTTTACATACATTTACCTAGCCAACATTAAATAGTTACAATAGAACAGTAAGCTCTGTATTTCTCTCCCATCGTGGATTCACAGATATGATTAGATTTTATCTGGTGGAAGTGGAGGAATCCAACTAAGCATCGTTCAATAAGCAGTATGAAAATCATCTGGAAACAGCAGATCATTGGTTTTTCAGGGATATTTTATTGCATTTCAGGAAAATGTTTTTTTGTTGAAACTAATTAGTTGACAGAAGGCCTATAACAATACAGTGAGTTTTTTTTTAAAATATATGTTACAAGTAAATATCTCATACCCAATATCAATGCTAAACATTTAAAAAAAACTCGTATCTGACCAAAAATAGCCAAAACACACATTATCTCTGACCACAAAAAGATTAAAACAATAATTTGATATTTTTGGAAATATGCTTACTCGCTTTCGTGCCAGAGTTAAGCGAGTAGAATGATACCTTTCTATATTCGTACCATAAATATGAAGCTACAGCCGGCTGGTTAGCTCAGCTTAGCACAAAGACTGGAAACAGCGAGCCCGGCCCTTTATTAAGGTTACAGAACTCACGTACCAGCTTAATATGTTTTATCTTGTTTGTTTGTTTGATCCATACAAAAAGTAAAATAGTGTAGTATGGTAGACAGACATGATGGGAGCAGTACCTCAGATCCCAGTCGGCTGAAAAGCTTCTAGACTTCGTGCACACACTACATGAGTTTCAGTGTGTACATTCATAAACAGAAGAGCAGATCAGTGCCTGGCTCCTCAGAGTTGCTCTCATCATATTCTTGTCTTTGACTGTATTCACAGTGAAGACGAGATATGGTTTCATCTTCTCATGGCTGACAGTGGCATTTTATTATTTTATATTTTGATTTTGGATGTCATATTTCAATGTTTGAATTCATTTTAGTTTTCAGATAAGCAGGTGTGACAGAATGCAGTTTAAGCCACAGAAAACAAACCATAGTTCCTGCAGTGTGAATACAGCTGTTATTTCATCCTTCATCTTCTAATGGTGAGAGCATTTGTTCTTCCAGTGCTTCAGCTTTGAAGGTTTCTCCACTTTTCCTCCATTAACTATCTGCTTCACTTGCTTCGCCACCTGGTCAAATGAAACACAAAATTATTTGTTGCGCTGTATAGGACTGTTTACTTGTTTGTGGACCTATGGAGTCATTTAATTTCTGTCAGTCAGTCCAACACTTTGGTCCAAACTGAAATATCTCAACAACTGAAGGATGGATGGCCATGAAATTTGTTACACACATTCTTGTTCCCCTAAGCATCAATTGTAATCACTTTGGTGATCCTCTGAATTTTCATCTGGCGCCATCAGCAGGTCAGAGTTTTCATTTTCTCGAATAGCCAACTTTCATTTATGTGAAATCAACAGATCTTTACAGGAAATTCAGTGGTGACACAGTGGTGATACCAAAACAGAAACCAAATTATTTGTAATGTTTCAGTATGTGGGTATGTAACAGAAACCACAATCACTTGACTCACTGCTGTGAACAATGCAGTCAGGTATAACGTGTCTTACGGAAAGTAATGGCTGACTGCTTCAAGCATATGTTACTATGACGCTAACCGTAAGTGATGATTAGAACAGTTGATCATCACTCAAGGAAAATGTCATTAGCTGGTTTTGTTGTTGAAGTGCACTAAAATATAAAACAGTTCAAAAATGTGTTTTCATAAATTACCAGAAGTCATTTTTATGCTATACTGTCTATAAGATTATTAATAGTATCTTTCTCATGAACACACTAACCTCTTCAGGAGCCGGAAACATTCCTGTCTCAAGCTTGGAGAAGATCAGCTGATCATTTACTGACACCTCAAAGCTGTCTGTGGGGTGAGAAATGAAACAAAATACATCCAAATCAATTCAATTTGTCTGCATTTGCATTAGAACCAGTGAAACTGATTTCTCTGACAGAATGGGCACAATATGTCACAGGCACTGCTGAAAGGCAGTTTGGGCAGGTACTCCTTTCACCGTAAGGAAATCTGAGAAAAATAGGTAGCAAAAAGCTACAAAGGCTCAAATGTGGTGTTTTACAATTGCAAGTTGAACTACTGGAGATTCATACTTTCTGTTTGAGCTTGTAATATCCACTGGTTGGTAGTACCACACAGATATATCCCATTTATATTCATCATTTTACTTTGACAAGGTGGTAAAAGTACTACCTCAAAACCATACAAGCATACAAAGAATGCTGGATTTATTAAAAAATAAAGTATAAAAAAATACTCATCCTTTTATATTCATTCCATCTTATTACTGTATATTGTGAAACTAAATATCCTGCACTACTTCCCTGTACATAGTATTTGGTTGAAATGTAGGCTGATACCATAGATACATAACACACAAACAGATAAAAATGTAGTGATGCTAAAAATAATCCAAACCTATAATATTAGTACCTCTCACAATATCTGTAACAGTGTGTTTGTTTACAGGCAAAGCACTGACTGCCAGTTATTTTATAATTATTTTAACATTGTGCATTTAAGCCTTAGTTTTAGTATGTTTATTGTTCCTTGTATACTTAATTAATATAATTTAGTGTTGTAATTGTGTCTCTTTGATTTCTATGACTGCGACTGGTGGTGATGATACTGATGGTGGTATGGTTTGTGGTGTTTTATTTGAATGGTGGTTTTTTGGATTACATTTATCACAAGTAGATTTCAATTTAAATTAGTTTTAGTAATTGTTTTAATAGTTTTAGTGAATGCTCTAATAAATGGCCTCTTTATTGAAGCCCCTATGTTGCAACTCACTGTTACACAAAGAAACAGGGTTGGAAACTTAAGTTTTCTCCATCACTGTGGTCTTTAAAAAGTATGACTTAATAACTCATATTTTGCTTGAATTTTTCTCAGTTTATATCTCTTTCTTTCTCTCTTTCCGTGGAAGCGATGGGCCTCCACAGAGGATTGTATGAGGAAGGAAAGAGCAGCTTACTTGGCCTCCCTTTGACTCCAGTCACCTGCACACCAGGAACCTGCCGGAGCTCACCGGCCAGTTCCTGGTAGCGGAACGCATAACTTCATCCTTTACTGTAACACAAAGCAACACCAAGAAAAACACATGAATACGCCCGCTGGTAGGCTCACTTAATGCTGGCTTCAAGTTCTGCTTTTTGTGTGAAGAAGAAACCTTTCCGAGGGTGCGACAGTTTCCATGCACAGAGAAGTGTTTCTGCATTTCTAGCGAACATGAGTGATATGAACCAGTTTATCTGATTTTACATTTAGCCTCAAGAATCCCTCTCCACACTATTAATGAGTCTGAATTGCAGTCTAACTAAAAGATTAATCAGCAAAAAGTGAAAAACTCACCAGTATTCAATGGTGACTGCAGTAGCCATGGTTTTGATGTGTGTAAGTTTGCTGTTGCAGAGCTGTAAACTTAATGCAGAGTCATGATTAGACAACCTTATTTTAAAATAAACCACACCCAGTGGGAGGGTAGCCCAGACTGCCCACTGTTTACTACAATAACACTTTTCTTCTCTCACATGTCACAGTTACTGGTGGCTGTAAATACTCCTCCTATCCATACTGGGACTGAGAGATTCTAATGTTCCCCAGAGGTTCTATGAGGCTTCAGCAGCGTTAGATAGTAAAATAAAATGGATCAGGGGGGTTCACACATCTGGTGACTGCTCATCTGCTGCAACTCAGCAAGGAAACACTGTCCAGTGACACACACAGAGGGGATTTGAATAACTTTGACTAACTCTGCTGAAGCCTCACATTATCTTTAGCTCAACTGGACAGGTATTATATAGACACACTTGTGTAAAAAAAAATGTGTTCCAAATGTGAACCTATCCTTTAAGGTTAAGAGAGAAAAGTGTTTGTACAAATGCAAAATGTATGTCTGTATAACATTTATACCAAGAAGTCTACAAAAGGAGTGTTATTGCATAGCAGAGGAAAAAGCTCAGGATGAACTCCTATTCTTGTTCCTCCCCCAAATCAAACCAGAAAAGTGTGAGGGGATTTCTCCTCCATTACATTCCTCCAGCTGTCCTTGCAGTCAGACTTTCTGTGACATTTCTCCTTTCAGAGCCAAGAGATAACCAGCAGTGTCCCTAGCTCAGCAGCACACTATCACACAGGTGCACAGTCTATCAGTTCGGTCAGAGGCAGCTGAACAGAGGTTATTGTGTGTGGATTCAAATACCAGCAGCTGCCGTCCAACTGGGGAATCTGAGGCCTCCAGTCAGACACCAGACCCACTGTCTCCTTCTGCAGGCAGGTGTTCAAGAATTTACCTTCTATCTGCAGGAGTTCACTGCTCCACGGTTCCACTGATGATGGCCTCAACAAGATGGCAACATTTCGAATTAAAATATATTTGACAGCAATAATGAAAACGTTTGCATGCATGAAAATATAAATTGTTTTTGTATATAAAATCATTAATTTCCCCAAGACTAAGGTGATGTATTTAAATTGTTTTATCTGACCAATAGTGCAAATCAAAAATATGTTTAATTTACTATCGTAAGCTACAAATAAAAGTATCAAATATTCACATTTGGGAATTGTTTGAAGTTTAGTGATTTACGGTGAAGTAGGAGACACAATTTTTACCAAACTGAATACCATAACTCTGGATATGTTTTTAACAACCCACTATTTAAAAGTTGCAGACAGAAATAAAGATTAATTTTTAATCTGAAGAGAAAGATTATTTTAAGACTTGAGTGATGTTGCTAAAGCCTTTTAACATTTTATTTGTTTAAAATGATATCCAGTACAAAATGTATACAGTAATACCCTTATGTTTGTCAGTTCCCCTGAATAAAATATTTTAATCTGTTCAGCTCATGCCGGATAACAGTATCTATAAGATACACTAGATTGTAATTTGCTCATACAATAGTTGATGACAAAGATATATCAATAGTACCTTTGTAACAATACAAAACTATCAGCAATATTTTGGTGGACACACTTTCAATACAATAAAATTACATACATTGTTCTGTAAAAGTTGCATTGCAATCTGCCCATATTTTACAAGATTTTCAAATCCATGTGTTTCTTTTCATTAGCTATGAGACAAAAAAAAGTGGTGATACAAGTCTTTATACATGTAGAAAAATGATCTGGTGGCAAACCGCAGAGTAGCAGTGACTGAGTGTCAGCAGGCTGTCCTCTCTGAAGCTGCTGTAACAGATGTACAATGCACTTAGATTTGTTCTTTTTTTCTTTTTGTTAAAACAAGGCAACTTCTCAAACTTCATAATAAATAATAAACCCTCTGCAATGCTAATGTACCTGTCAATATATCCAGTTCATATATATATTCATAAACTTGTACAAAATATGTTTAAAACCTTTTTTCCCCCACATTTATGCACTAAAAAACCCCAAAAGGTTAAGATGGTTGAATTGTGTTTGACAAAGCATTTTTTGGTGGGACCAACACAAACATAACACAGTCTGCATGCACTGGTTTCCACGGAAACACAGGTGTGATTCTTCCAGTTGATTGGGTGCGCCTCTGCTCCTTGGCTTTGACTAAAATCGTTCAGAACAGTGTCGACTCGTGGTCGTTCACTCATTCTCTTGTGGTTGAAACCAATCACAGCATTAGCCTCATTGACTGGCGGGACTCTTTGACGCCGCCCTCTGGGTTGGGAGGGTCTTCTTGTGGGAACGTCACCTTGTCTGGTGTGTAGTCATTCCGCTTTAGATCTAACGAACAAGTAACAAGGGAAAAAAAAAATCAAGAGATTAGAATTTATTACCTTATATTTGTGTTTCTGAATTAGTTTTACTACGAGCTGTCTCTCTGTGTTAACCCTAATTGGGTAACTGAAGAGTAGCTGAGCAATATTCCTCACCAGGAAGTTTGAGTTTCCGACAGCAGGAGTTGCAGTGGTGTTTTGCTCGGAAGTTCCTAATGGCATCATCCCCCAGGTTAGCAGGTCCAAATATCATATCATAAGATCTGCAAGAGTCAGAGCGGTCATTTAGTCCTACATTTCTTGAAAAAGTAGCTGGTGATGTTTACATTTTAGTCAATATTGTAAGGCTGACAATTATTTTCTCAATTTTCTACAATATATTATGTAAGAAAATAGTAGAATAAAATTGTAAAATTTAATTTCTTTGGGTTTTAGTCACTCAGGGAAAATAATCGTCACAAATGAGAAGCTGGAACTGGGAAATGAAATAATCTCTGTGATTAATCAATTATCATTTAATTAAGTTAACCAACTAATACATTAATTGTTTCAGCTTTACAATACTGAGCCAAAAGAAGTAATTAATTCATGAGGTTAATGACTTACCCCTTCTCACCACTCTTAATAACTGATGGATCTGTCAGAATCTCCCCAACACCTACAGCGACACACAAGAACAAGATTCATTATCATGATATCAACGATAAAAAAGTGCACAGACTGGCACATATTTAAAGAGGCTGCCACGCAGGAGAATCAATCTGGAGGAATATACATCATCAGTAACATCATTCATCAGCAAATGTCGATCACAAAGGCAGTAAAATCATTCCCAGAAAGCCTGGATGAATGGAGAGGTGAGGGATTTATCCAGAGACAAAAAAGCTGTGTAAAGGCAGTGCCAAAGATACACTTCCATTTTATACAAATTTAATGGACAATAAAGTAATCTGAATCCAAAGTTAGTATCCATAGCAGATGTAAGAAAAATCCTGCTGAGAGTAAATATGACTAAAGCTGCTGGGTCTGATAACATCCCTGGCCGTGTACTAAAAACGTGCCAATCAGCTTTTTAATGTTATCAAGAAAAGTCTGTGTTTACAAACTCTGTTTGCCGACACTTCGACAGTAAATTAAGTTAGGTGAGTCGGTGTGAACCTAATCTGAGGTTGTGCGTGTGCTGTCGTATTCAATCATATCATAAATAAAGGAAGCGTTCATAAGAGAAAAATAGAACACACCCCTTTTATACAAACACGCACAACCTCAGATTAGGTTCACACCGACTCAACTAACTTAATTTACCGTCAAAGTGTCTGTTGTAAACACAGACTTTTCTTGATAACCCCCCCCCCAAGTTAAATCTGAGCAGGTTCAACTCCCTTTGTAGTACAGCCCTCAGGTGAACTTATTACGGTTCCTGGGAATCAACATCTCACAACTCTGGTTAACAAAGTACAGAAAGGACTATATTTCTTCAGGGAACTTAAGAAGGCAAAATGCCTGGGGCAAGTTCTTGTTAACTTTTACAAAAGAGGAAAAGCATCCTGACTGGAAACATTACAAACTGGCATAGGATGTACACTGTCCAGTACAGTAGGGTTGTAAATGACAATAAAAATAGCCTTGAACCTTGAAATTGACATCGATATACAGTAACTCTGTTAAGTGCACAGGAAGTCAATGGAGAATCATTAACACATTTGTCATGGTAATGATGATGAAACACTTTGTTTTTCACTATGTGAGCCTCATCATTTTTAGGGGATGAAAGCGGTCTGGGAGTTTTTACCCTGCAGGTCGAGCACCAGCAGCTCTCCACGGGTGTACTCGTAGGTCCAGTGGCTGAAGGCCAGCATGGTTTCCTCCAGGAGGTTAGTAGGGACAATCTCATCTCCGTTGTTGTTGTTGAACTTCCTGAACTCTCCTGTAATGCACTCTTCTATAGCAAACCACTGTCCAGCAGAATGACAATAGAGCAGAAACACCTCCAGAAACCTGAATACACAGAGGACTCAGGTTATTGGACACATTGGAAAATAAAAGCCCCCCTAATATTTCCTCCCAAAAGTCACTGCATTACATCTTAAGTGACTCTACCTGTCACACCATTAGTAAAAAGGAAGTATGAATTATTTATTTTAGAACATAATTATCAAATTCTTTGATAAGATAATGTCATATGTTTACAAATGTTTTGAACCTTTAAAAGGAATAGTTCAACACTTCACACTGTCAGTTAGCTTAGCACAAAGAACAATGGCACTGCAGTGAGAGGCGTGTTTATCCAGTGTAGGAAGGGCTCATGTTGACATGTAAAACAAATAAGAGAACAGCCTACTTCAGATGACTTAGCAAAAGCTTATCTGGTCCTGCCAACCACAATGAGCTAGGCAGAATTTGTTACACAGCATCTACGATCACACACGGAGGTGCATTTGAAGATATGAAAATAAAGCAGTTCTAAGTATGTGTGTGAGTGTGACTTCTGTCTGTGCTCTGCTAACACTCCGGCAAGTGTGCTTACCTCGGTGAATAAGGAATAGTCTTGGGCCTGATTTGGTTGAAGGCAAATGTCAGCTTCTGAGCAGCTCGTTGTTGTTGAATTTCCTGGAATGACACAAGAAAGCACCACATTAGTGTCCTTCCCACTTGCAATGGACAAACACTAGTGTAGGTGCAAGGGTTGTTAACAAGAAATGACACTGAAATTATACTAAAATCAAGGCCACAAGTAGAGATGCTTCAGCATTTTTGTGGTTCAAATGTTTTGATCATAGCCACAATTTTCTAGGTTTAC